AGCTCTGCCTTGACGTCTGCAGCACAGCCATGTAATAGCATGGTCTAGACAATGAGAGGCCAAGGGAGAAGCACGAGGCTACCAATTGTCTTAGGCGAGCCAAAGAAAACGATTGCTCTGCTTGATAGGATCAGTTTAGGGAATTTGTTTAGAATGCCATAGTTTATTAACGGCAGCTTTTAAAGTAATGAATGCCTTTTGGTGCAACAGTATAAGCTCACTGGAGGATTTTTCCTGACACGGAAGAAAAGCTAATCAAAATATGACAAAGGTCAAACGCTATTTTCAGCTGCTTATTACCTTTGTATTTTCCAGTGCTCCCTTCCAACTGACTCGTAAGTACCCTCTGCCCAGAAAGCAGCGTGGGCTACTAATGGGTTTTTCCTAGGATTCTCTGTCTCCCTTGCTGAAACTCGACTCTTTGCAATGAAATTACAGTCTGAACTGAATCAACCCAGTGAACACGAAGGTCCTTTGGATAGTACCAAGGCAGTTTGAGCCACTCAGATCAGAGGAGACTCACTCTAGATGAATAATAGATGAGCAATCCCTTGCTCAGCCAGGAAGATTGGAAGGACAGACCTGCCACCTGCATCTTGAACACCACGTCATCTCACTCTGCTGAGTACTTTTCATCGGCCTTGGAAGACCTTGAAACCTTTCCCTGTAACTTTGGGCATACTCAGCACAACTAGCACAGTGGGAGATGAACTAGAGTAATACAATATTAAAAGCATACCCACCATGTACTAAACACACCTGGCCACCATAAAGAAATGCAAGAAAAGCATTTCTGTCATAACTAAATCAGTCCATATATGACAACTGCATGATTCTCTCCTTTGTGTTTCGTTACCAACCTCCAAAGCAAATGAGCCCAAGACGAAATAAATTGCACTGAGGAACAATCATCACTGTACACTCAACATTTGGAAATACTTAGGCACCATCTAACTACCTTTGTCTAAAGCACAGCATTCTGGATTTCAGAGCTTGTTACTTCAATAGGAGCAGGATCAAGCTAAAATACAGCAACAGAGGTTGAAAAAACACAATCTGAAAACCTGGTGTCTCAGAGCTATTTTTTGGGACAGCACCACAGCAACGTGAGGAAGAATATTTTCAACAAGGCAAGTGGGTGGAGAAAAGCATGAAGGCATCTCAAACAGCTGCCTTGATAGAACTGGACCCCAGGACAGCTGACTGAGGCCCAAAATAACAGGACAATCCCTCTATTCCCTCCCTTGAGGAAAATAAGGTGACTGCTGGGGGGAGCCGGAAGCTGTTCTCTCTATCTGGCTATATGACTAATCCAAATATTTACATCAAAGCAACTCTGCTGATTACTGTGAAGGAACAAAAAAGTGGGCTCAAGCCAAGTGAAACTACTAGACCTGAAACATGAGTCTGGGAAAATCCAGAGCTACCCTGATGACATGGGAAAAAAAGCTTTAGACTGCAGAGGTAGCGTCAGCTGCCTGTGCTGCCACACAAGCAATTGTCACTTGTTTCTTCTTTCTTCCCACTCCAGCCCTGCCACCTCCCAGCAGATCACGTTCTTGGACTGTAATTTGTCTTCCCCATTTGCAGCTGCTCAGGGAAGTGGTCCTCAGGTTGCAATATCTTTCTTTCCTTACCCTCATAAGAGATGGGTCCAAAAGTTAAGTGTCTTCTTTTTCTTCCCCATACCAAGTATTTGAGTATAAGAAATGGGATAAAGCGGTGCCTTTTTTTCTGTGTAGGACAAGTCGTATGTACTTCTTCCCTTGGCTTTCCTATACTCTGCAGTTCTTTGTTCCATATAGAAACTGTTCTGTGTAACCCTGCAATAGCCTTACCTCATTTGCTGGTAGATCCTACGTAGCCCTTCCCTCTCTACAGCAATTCCTTGATTATTTATGCCTGTACAGCATCTCACACCTGTTCTGTACTTGTATAAATACTGACAAATGCAATACATTACCCTAAGTGTAGGACAAAAGAAGAGCTTCCTGTCCTCAGAGGCAGATGATATCTGTGTACGCTTCTGAATGCAGCATTGGCAGTTAAATACTGCAACATGAGGACAAGAATAAAATCTCTTAACTAGCAATTGATTATTCCTGAGAATTAAACATCTGATCCTGGGCAAATTTTAAGGAGGAATATTACTAGGGTTCATTCCTGATGAAATGTGTCCTTCAACTGTCATGGTTTAACTCCAGCTGGCAACTAAGCACCACACAGCTGCTCACCCGCTTCTCTGTCCCCACAATGGGATGGGGACAAGAACTGCAAAAAAAGTAAAGCTTGTAGGTTGAGATAAAAACAGTTTAATAGGACAGCAAATGAAGAGAAAATAATAAAATAGAATTTACAAAACAAGTGATGCACAGTGCAATTGCTTACCACCCACTGACCGATGCCCATCCCATCCCCGAGCAATGATCCCACTCTCTGGCCAGCTTCCTCCAAGTTTATACACTGAGCATGACATCATATGGTATGGAATATACTAATGGCCCGTTTGAGTCAGCTGTCCCCGCTATGCTCCCTCCCAGCTTCTTGTGCACCTCCTCACTGGCAGAGAATGGGAAGCTGAAAAGTCCTTGACTTAGTAGAAGCACTACTTAGCAACAGCTGAAACATCAGCATGTTATCAACACTGTTTGCATGCAAAATCTGAAACAAAGCACTGTACCAGCTACTAGGAAGAAAATTAACTCTATCCTAGCCAAAACTCGGACAAACCCTATTAATGCCCCAGAGTATTAGTTACTGCAAATTGGACACCTTAAACTTGCAGTCATTTTTAAAGAACTTAATCTGCTCCCCGATGCTCTTTCCACCTACCTGCTCTCGTCTCCTCCAGTGTGGTTTTTTTCCATTATTGTGTAGAAAAATATTTTTCCCTATTTTTCTCATTTTAATGTGTTTGAACTCCATACAGAGGGAGCCCCCCAGGCTAGCTATTAGACCCTGTAGATACATGGAGAAAACTCTGACTGAAGTCTGGAATGTCCAGATTCCAAAATATTTTCATAGTGAAACTCTGCAGCTGGAAACTGTGCAAGAGATTTTGGTATCCACAAACTATCCTACAGGAAAACGTCCTAAAATAGCTTTTATTTCTGTGACAAACAGGCATCATAATCCATGCTTTTCCTGCTTATCCATCTGTTTGTATTTTGCAGGAAATCTGTGAGAATCCACGGTTTATTATCGGTGGAGCCAACAGAACAGATATCTGCCAAGGGGAATTAGGTATGAAATGCTTACTTCAACTCTGCACTTGTTTAAAGTCTGCATAACTTAATTTTCTTTTGCTTCCAAAGTGGTATTTGAAATCCGCTGTCTCAGTATACCACAACACATCTGCTGATTCCTTCTCCCTATAGCAAATCACTGATATCTGCCTAGTAGCAACCTGGGGAAGAACTTTAAGTGAATGATGCTTTGCAGGGTGTTTTGCTTTTCATTAATTAATAACATGAGTGTGCTACAAAGCACCATTTGGCCTTTCTTTCAGGCTTTGAGAAGAGACAAAATTAGTTAAGACAAGAATAAGAGATAAAGAGGAGTTATTTGAAAAAAAAAATCTAATCAGCTACTGTTGTATTTTTTCAGGTATTTAGTACTGTTATTTCCATACAGGAGCTTCTGAAGGCCTCCAGCTAAGTGTGCCTTTTACTCAAGGACAATCCCTATATTGAAGACCTTAAGCTCAGATGCTCAAAGATACTTTGATATATAGAGACGCTACTTAGGTACAAGTGATGCCTCTGCAACAGTCGTCCACGCAGCACTCACCTGCACTGCTTTGTAAAGTCATTCCCCACTCAGCTTCCCCATGTCTTTCATGGTTTTATAACTTCTCCTGCAATCTTTTTCCTAAGCTAATACATCCTAATGTGTGTTAATATTTTCATTTAAGTGTTGTTCTGTGCTTGTGACTGTCCTCATCACCTTCCCAGTTCTTCTTTTTAATTGATTTTAAACTGTCTTTCTTTTTGAGGTGACCAGAACTTCACAGTTGCCGAGGTGTAGATGCAAATGAATTTATCTGCATAATATGTTCTCTCTTTTGTCTTCCATTCCTTCCTCAACTACACATAGCATTGATTACCTTTTTGACTTCTTGTGAACATTGGATAGTTTAGAAAACTCTTATTCACAGTGGACCCCACATCTTTCCTGAGGGGAAATAGGTAACTTAGAATGTACTGCTATATTTATAATAGAGTTGGCTTTCCAAAATATATACGTGCATGTATTTCTATATTCACCAATTTCACAAGTTTCTTTTACAAATCCCTGCAGTCAGGTTTAGTTTTCACTACCTCATATAATTCTCTCGCCCCACTAATTCACACTGCTCAGGCAAGCTTTCCCTAAGCAGCTAGGAGGTTTTAATTAAGGGTTGAGGCATTCGTCGCTGAACACAGAAGTTCTATGGGAGAAAGTCACTTTCCCAGAGCTTCCACAGAGGCAGCAAACTTGTGCAAGAGTCTGAAGGAGGAACTGAAAAACACCAAAGGGGACAGTGTTTACAACAGTGCAGACACAGATTCAAAAAGAGGAAAATGCGTCAGAGCAATGAAGCAGGAAAGAGGCCCTGCAGAACGGTAATTGGGACAGTGGGTTATCTTGAAAGCAGAAAATGAAAATGAGAGATTGAACCTCAGCTATACAGAGCTCCACCTGGGAATTATCTCTCAGCTAGTTTCTGTCCTAAGCTTGGAAGGAGAACTAATGCCACAAGTCAGATAGGCATTCACATGAGACAGGGAAATCTTAACACAGGTAACACTGCTCATCAGATTTTAGTTTTTTTCTAGATTATAGGAAACATCATCTATTTAACAGGCGTGTACCTAGCCATGAATGATGCCAATGAGCATTTCCAGAGCACAAATAAATAAAGTGCTAAAGTACTGCAGAACACATGGAGAAGAGCCCTCTCCTGAAAGGCGCTGGCATGCTTTACTGAGAATTAACGTGTCACGTATCTCAGGTTTTCCCTTTGATTCTAGTTGCTCTGTCTCTTCATTTTGTCTGCTGCTTCTGCTTGTTCACAGGTGACTGCTGGTTCCTGGCTGCCATTGCTTGCCTGACACTGAATAAAAAACTACTCTGTAGAGTCATACCTCATGACCAGTCCTTTATACAAAACTATGCTGGCATCTTTCACTTCCAGGTGAGTCCCTTCATCTAGCAGGAAGCAGACGTAGCTGTACTTACCCAAGAGAGAGCTGAGCTCTCGGGCACACTCTTCCCTCTCGCTTCTCCACCCTTCAGAAGTGTGAGCGACAGCGGGGAAGGAAAAGGGATTGAATTGCCTCACCCTAAACTCCTCCAAGAGGGCAGTCACAGAAGGGCCAGCCCATATAGGCAATTAGGGAGCATTAATCCAGCAAGGAAGCATTTGCAGATTGCTGTGTCCTGCGCATAGGGATAGCAACAGGTGCCGAGTCCTGCCTCTCTGCTCAGATGCAATGCTGCAGCCAGCCCAGACATGCCAACAGATGGCAAAAGCATCTATTTTTAGGCCAACAAGCAGCTAGTCCATCAAAAACAAGGTATTGAAGAACCACTTATTCAGAAAAGATGGACTGCTTTCCGTATTTCCCTTGGCTCTCCTAACGGACCTCTCACTGTCCTGCACGTTGCCTGGGGAAATTCAGTCCAGCTGCCTCCCTCTCAACAGCCATCACTTTTTGCCACGTTACGAAGCCGTCAATTTCCACATTTCTCCTCTCTCAGCCTGGCTTTTCAGCCAGGCTCCCCCTCCCTGCATCAAGTCAACCCTGTATTTTTTCCTGTTTGCCTTTATTCAGTTCTGGCGCTACGGAGACTGGGTGGACGTCGTCATTGATGACTGCTTACCCACGTACAACAACCAGCTGGTCTTCACCAAGTCCTCTCAGCGCAACGAGTTCTGGAGTGCCCTCCTGGAAAAGGCCTATGCAAAGTAAACATCCTCGCTGGATTGTGCTGGGCTCCCTGCCGAGTCTTTGGCTAGGGAGGGGGTTAAACCACTGTGTACAAGACCTATAATGAGGATATAGAGAGGCTCTGAATATACCAGTGCCTTTTCCCATAGATTCTCATGCCTCAGAATTGGGGATAGGGTAAAACATTTTCTAGAGGGTTTTGCTACTCATTCAGAGGTCTACATTTGATTGTCTGCATCTCTTTATTTCTTTTTTTTTTCCTGATATGTGCAGTTAGCATGTTTTAAAACTTTTAACTTGAGGGTTACCAAACAGATGGTTTGTGGGTTTTTTTTATGTGTGTTTACACATCTTTATTTATGCACACACAAGATAAATATATATTATATATATAAAAAAAAATGTGGGTATCTTTATCTGTGTAAAAAAGAATCTTATTTTTCTTTTATCTTTCCAAGACTTCATGGGTCATATGAAGCTTTGAAAGGAGGCAACACCACTGAAGCCATGGAGGACTTCACTGGAGGAGTCACAGAGTTCTACGAGATAAAGGATGCCCCTAAAGATATCTATAAAATCATGAAACATGCCATTGACAGAGGATCCCTCATGGCCAGCTCCATTGATGTGAGTCCATATGATTTTTACAGATGAGTCATAAGAAATGGCAGAGGAAAGGGAACTCTCCATCCATAATCACCTTCCACTAGATCAGACTGCTCAAAGCCTCATCCAACCTGGCCTTGAACACTTCCAGGCATGGGGCACCCACAACTCCTCTGGGCAACCTGTTCCAGTGCCTCACCACCCTCATTGTAAAAAAATTCTTCCTTCAATCTAATCTAAATCTTCCCTCTTTCAGTTTAAATCCATTGCCCCATGTCCTATCACTATAGGCTCTTGTAAAACAAGTCCCTCTCCAGCGTTCTTGTACGCCCCCTTTTGGCGAGTCTTCACTTACTGTGGTTCATCTAGCATGTCATGAGAAATGTTATCTAGGCTATCTTTTACCACTCATCTTTCTTGTACCGTTTGTCTCTTCTCTCCCTGCCTCATGTTTTGCATGATACTTTTCTCCCATTCTCTGTACCAGGATAACCTAGGCTTTTCCTATGGATCGGCTCCTCGGAGTGACATTGGGGAACTGATTGCTCGAATGGTGAAGAATCTAGAAAACGCGCAGATGGCTCACTCCACTGTAGACTACCAGGGTACAGATGAAAGGCCAGCCTGGGTTTGTATGTTTCCAGAAGTGGTTGACTTCACAGGGCTTTTATTTATAGACAGAACAGTTAGTGAGACATATCATCTATGCTTTTAAACCCCTATTCAGCTTCACTGAGTTATCCCAACACTAAAGACCTGTTCTTATGGATGCTATTCAACATATGTATTAAAGGATTTCAGTCCTTTCAAACACAGCAACTGATACTAGAGGCCTTTGCTGATACTGAGGCAAAAGGCTGTTGGCTTGTGGCAAAGACTTATAATTTCCAGAGCTTACCTGTACAGTAGAAATGGAGAGCAAAACCACATCAAATACATCAAAGTGGCACATTGGTTATTGTATTTGGGAACCGGACATGATTAGTGGTTTTTATGAAGACTCTCACTTGCAAAGGATGGAGAGAGCAAGAAAATTAAAATACCAGAATGGAAGAAGATCTCGAGTGTAGAGGGGGTGTGAAAGAGAGAAAACGCAAGCTCTGCACAGCTCCCACTCCAGGCATGAAAGCTCTTGGTGAACTTATTTTGAGACAGAGTGCACTATGGAGCTCTGCCCACCAGTGTAGGGGAGCCTGCTCTTGGGATGCTCCTTTTAGATTACTGCCTTCAAGACCCTCATTTAAAATGCATAACAAGGAAAATGGAAAACATGTCAAGTTTTATATGCGTTATAAAATACAAAGTAATTCCAGCATACCTAAGTACCTAGCAAAATAGAGAGCGCGATGTTAAAACCATCAAAGGAAAATCCCATATTGGGAAACGTAAAAGTTTCCAAATCTGTAGAGGGACATAGTGCTTTCTCCTTCTCTCTGTCAAGTAGCTGTCATACCTTGCCCTTTAGGAAGCTGCATGACAATGAAATCACCAACACCCCAATTACATCATCTAAAACTTTTGGTTGTGCAAACTGTCTTTTGCATTTGCAGCAGAAATAGCAGATTTTTCCTCTTTTGACACCCATATTTAGTCTTCCTAAAAGACTGGAATGGTGTAATTCTTGTTTTCAACATGTTTTCAACATGTAATCAACATGATTGTCTTATTTTGCAAGCACAGCTGCCCAGATCACCCACGCTTTGGGGGGGAATTTCCTCCTCAGTGACTATCTACTCAAAAAAGACTGGAAAACTCTCTAATTGCTGCCCTGGCAGCCATTTTGCTGCTGGTTTTTGCACACTCCTGAGCCATCATCAGAATAAAAGAAATCATGACTCTTGATGGAAAGAGGCAGATAGTGCAGACTTCAGAAGCACTTTGGAGAAGTGGCCCAGGGCACCAGCAGGAGTTACTATTCTTAAACAGAAAAGAGAGAAAAGGGTTCTGATAAGTAATGATGGCGACAACATGAGTAGAAATAAAGAAAAAAGGAAATAGATATGAGGTTATAGGCATAAAAAGTATGGAAACAGGACCAAGGAAAAAAATGGAAACAGGAGCAAGGAAAAAGACAGAAACAGGAGCAGAAGGGAAATAATGGACAATAATTGTGACAGCCAGGAAATATTCAGATGAGATCCTCCCTGTGCAAGCTGAGAATGTATCTATGTTAACTTACTCATTTTCCGTTTCCAGCCCTGCCATTCTCATGCCCTCAGATGTGTCAAGAAGGGATGGCAGAGTTACTGGCAGGGCCTCACAATCATCTCTCAGCGACTGACATGATGGAGAAAGGGAATTTTCACATACGGTACACGTGTGTGTAGCAGAGCCTTCCCTTCCCACCGTTTTCAGTGATCTCTCCTACAGGCACAGTGGACTGTGTGCACCTGCCATCTTCCTCTCGATTCTTTATCTCCCAGATAAACAGCATGCTGAGATTTGCAAAGGAAAATCTATCAGACACACCAACAGTTTGATTACAGCAAATGTCATTGCTAAAGAAACCTATGCCCTTCTTGAATGTCAGTTGGAAAAAACTTCAATCATGAGAATTTTAACAAACATGGAATAAAACGTACATCTCTGTAGGAAATTATTTTTTTGAAAAAATAATGTAAGTTAGTAGGAACAGTGTATTGAATAGGGATCATTGTGATAAGATTGCAGCCATGTGTAAAGACAAAGGTATTCTACTAGGTGTTGATCTGCTCTGATGTTTCGAGTTAATGTGTAATAACCTTACTGAGACATACAAGAACATACTATCCCAGAAAGGGCTGAGTAGTCCCACTAATAGAAAATCTAATTATTTTGATTAAGCATGCTATGTAATAGCATGTTCCGAGTGCAAAAAGCAGAAACCTACACAAAGGGGAAAAAAGTAAATCACAAACTGTCCTTTCCAATTGATATTATTAACTTTTTTCCTTTTTTAGTTCATGCTTCACTCCTTTCTAACTAAAAACATTAGCTCTGTGGGTACTAAGCTTGGCTGCCTTGGCAAACGCAAACAAGAGAACAAGACAAAAACCCCTGTCACCTGAACAGTGTCATCCTCCCTCCAAAAGCCCTGGGTGGTAATATCTGCCTTAAAGCAGCTGGCTCAGCTTTGCACAGCTCTTAACGAGTTTTCATCTTGTGTCTAACAGACCATAGTGCCAATGCAGTACGAAACCCGGATGTCTTGTGGGCTTGTCAAAGGTCATGCCTACTCAGTCACGGCTGTGGAAGAGGTATGTACAGTTCCTTTCCTCCAGCTATGGGGAGCTGTGGTCTGCACTGGCCTAGAATCATGCGTGTCAGCAAAGCTATGAGGGAGGAAAAAAGCAAAACAAATTATGAGCTAAGGAAACAAAATTTGTATTTAAATAAATGAAAGCCTTGTGGAGAAACAAACCTGTCCAAGTTTTGGCTTCCTGGGGAAATGCATATTCCACCACATTCTGCTTGGGCAAAGGTGGCCACAGCCAGCTACCTCCTGGTCTTACAG